GCTGGGCTGGGGTGCGGGCCATCACCGGGGCAGCGCGGGCGCCCTGGGAGCCTGGCTGGCGGCATCGCCGCGGCCCTCCCGGGAGGGGTGGGGCCGCCCGCCAGGGTCCGGCGCGGCCTTTCTAAAGCAGATGGTGCCGCTGCTGGGGGCAGAGGGGGTGGGCGCGGCCCAGCTGCGGACTGCCTTCTCCGGAAGTGCCTTGCACAAATAGGCGCTTAATAAATATTTGTTGAATGAATGTGTGCGTGAGGTCAGGCCAAGAAGTGCAGAATGGTGACACCCGCTCCTTGTCTGCTACCTGGGTCTGGAGACGGGAACTGGCCCCTCCACACCCTAGTCCTTTCCCTTTGCTCAGCGGCCCATAGTGACCCTCTGAAGCTGGGTCCCTGTCCCTCTGCGAATAACCTTGAAGTACTACTCTCAGCCTGCCCTGGGCAACCAGCTTGCCTCTGGGCTCCTGCTGCGGCTGCCAGTGGGCCAGGCAATGGCTAGGAAGGGCTTCTCCTGCTGGTCAGGACGGATTTCCCCTTGCCCCCTGATAACTGACAGTGCTGCAGCCACTACTTAGGAATGAGGCTGGGGAGGTGGTTCTTAGGACCAGGCCTCTAAATCCTAAAGTTATGTGATGATCATTGCAGCTTTGATGAGGCTCATATGGAGCCAACAGCCACTGGGATTGCTTGGGGGAGCTGGGGCCCCACCGAAGAGGGCAGGGGAGATCTTGGTTCTAGGTGAATAAACATCACCAGCCTCCAGACACCAGCCACGGAGAAGCAGCCCTGGCCCTGGGCTTCCCCAGCCCACCACTAGCTGCTGTCCCGTTGGCAGGGGGACAGGGTGCTAGGGGCCTGGGTTGGGCTGTTTGACCAGGGAGGGGTCTCCTCCCCAGGGCGTGTGTGGGGGCTGTCTTCAGGTCCCAACACAGTGAGATCAACAAGGAGCGGTGGAAGGAGCAGCAATCCAGGCAGCTGGAACCTGGCCCCTAGTTCCCCCTCCACTGGCGCTATCACTTTGGGCAAACTTCTCTCCCCACCCCAGCCCTGCTTCCTCAGCTATAACAAGGGGGAGCTGGGATGACTATGTAGACCCATCCACTGTGGTTCCAGGAGGGAGCGTGGAGAAGAATGAACCACTGATCACATCGACAAGTATTTATGTGCCTAACCGGGGACTGGGTCCTGTGGGTGTCCTGCCCCTGTGGACAGATGTGAATGGATCAGAGGGCACAGGAGGCACCAGAATGGCTGGGAAGAGAGTGGAGGAAGCAGGGGCTCTGACCAGCCATGGCCAGGCTCACCCCAGGCGTTTGCAATTCAGGAGTGTTTTGAAGAAGGGGTGCTGGATACTCCAGCATCTGACTACAAATGCCTCTCTTCCCTGAAGAATGGAAAGGAAAAAAGATGATTTTGGAGCTAAATAGTGAGGGGAGAAAGAATTCACTCTTCTTCCCCAATGTTTTCCTTTGATGGTGTGCCCTGGGGGAATCCTGGTAGTAAGGGGGGTGGTCTTGTCCCTTTCCTGGCTTCCTCTGTCTGCAAACTGAAGCCAGGGTTGGGGGAGTGTGTTGGGGGTCACAGTGGCGCTGTGCCCGTGTCCCCAGCAATATGGGCTGTGAAGGGAGCCCTGGGTGCTGATAGAAGGGGCAAGGTATGGAGCCTGGCATGCTCCATGACACTGGACCCAGGGCCAGTGAGTACGAGTCCTGAAAGCCCTGTCGGGCACAGGACCCTGCCTTGCTCAGCTGAGGGAAGTCCTCCTGGCTGCGTTTGCCCTCATCAAGGGGCCAGGTTCTATTGTAACTCTGAGCAAGGCCACAGTTTCCCACCTCTTCCTGTGGCCTGGTGTATTTAGCCTGTGGATAGCAGCCTGGGGCCCCCGTCTCAGATTCTTGGGGCCACTGGGGGACCCTGGAAATCACCTAGCACTGAGCTGGATAGGGCAGAAAACTCCAGTGCCCCTTTCCTGAAGGAAAGGTGGTCTGGGACCCACCAACCCTGAGAAATGGACCTTCCCCTGGCCACTACCATTCCCCACTGCCCTGGAGAACTTCCCCAGGGGCCTGAGCAGTACTGTCAGGAGGCCGCACCTTCTTCAGGCTGCATAAAGTGGAAAGGGCACCTGCAGACAGGTGATGGCTGCCAAGAGTCCTTCCCACGTCCTGTCAGCCAGCGCAATGGGATTGGAAGATCAGAGGAAGGCGTGTTTGTTCCCAGGGAACGTGCATATGAGCTTGATGCCGCCCCAGCCCCCAGCCCGGCGCTCCTATGCCCCAGTTCCGCTCCACACTCACTGGTCCTCAGGTGAGTCAGAGGATCGGGAGCCACCACCAGGGGCCCAGCGAGCCTGTGTCCAGGACCAGCTTTTCCCCCAACTTAGCCACCAACCTGCAAGCTGCTAAGGGACTGTACCATCACTCCTGTCGCCTGTGGCTCCTGGCTTGTTGGCAGTCAGGAAGAGGGCTGCCAGGAAACCACGCCTCTGGGAAAGCAGCTCCCCATCTCACAGCCCCTTTGGTGAAGACCTGCAGTTTGCTCCCTGTCGCCATAGGCCGTTTCCATTAGACACGCACTGGAGAGACACAAGTGGAGAAGGCCCCCTGGAGCTGGTGCTTTGGCAGCACCCCAGGCCCGGACCCCAGGGGGGAAGGTGTTGGGAACTGGAAAAGGCTGGACTTCCTCTTCTCTTTGCCTGCTGTTAGCCTAACCGCGAAAGTATCTCTTTATACAGAATACTTAACAGATTCTAATATATATTTGTATTTCATTTTGTTATAGTATTTTTATATGTTAAAGGTCAAGATCCAGTGTGTTGTTTTGATTGTCAGATGCTATGTGATTGTGACGTTTTGTGTTGGGGTTTCTGTAGTCTTGTTAATCGACTCTTTCAAAGAAACTGGTTTAGCACAGGCCCTTGAGGGAGCCACACCTGTCCCTTCCCTAGATGCAGTATTGTTTTAGCACATGTTGGATATTGTCTGTTGTCTTACACATGAACATGACATTGATTGAATCACTCCGATTCTGCCTTGTTGATTTCTATTTTTTCAACTGAGCCCCGTGCTGCTGGCATCCACTCTCCCAGGGCACAGGGCTTTCTGTGTGGAATCACAGACCCAGCCACCACCCAGTGATGGCACCAAGATGCAGCCATAGGGGACGTGACCCTACAACTCACCGGTCCTCCTGAAGAAGGATGGGGAGGTCTGGGGAGGCTCGGCTTGTGGCTCCCTTGGGATCAGTCAATGTGAGGGCAGAGCCCAGCACGTAACACGGGGATCCCAAGAGGCTACTCATCCTCCTCTCCTTTAAAGCGTTTGTGTTCCATCTACATTTTTTAAATCTGTGTACAGACCCACACTCATATTTCATCTGGCCCTGAGGGTTTCTGAGCATCAGGGCAACAGTGTGGCTTCTCAGACAGCCCCAGCCCTGTTAAGATTAACCCGCTTTTTTAACCCGGAATTTTTAGGATCAGTGGATAAAGGGTGCATATCTCATTCTGTAGTTGTTCTACTCCCATCTCACAGATTAGAAGATGGCATACGGTTTCGTACATATGCTGAGTGTCCAGGTGAGGCCAAGCCCTGGCATGCATTCTGGGCAAGATCCCTGCCACAAAGGGGACCTGGCTGGCCGTCCTGATGCCAGGCCCGTGGCCTGATTTCTTAATAGAAAACTGGGCAATGGTGAAGGTCACGCAAGCCACGCCTTAGCGATAGCAACTGCTGAGCCTTCAAAGCAATGAGAGATGGGGGAGGAAATGTAATGAACGGAAGAGCATGGAAAAGAACATGGGCTAAAGATGGTTGTAAATACCAGTGTCTGGAGTCAGTCAGGTGGGACATGCCCTCTGATCCATCACCTGTACTGCCACTGCTGACAAAGCCACAGGCACAGAGGCATTTCGTACTGGAAGGAAAAACAACAGCAAACAGCAATCAGCAGTTTGGGACTGTCGTGACCTGAAGGGGACATCTCCCATTCTTCCGAGCTCTAGGTGATTCTTACCATGCACTAGTTTTGTTAGATTTTTTTTTTTTTAAAGAGAAGCCAAAAATCTGAATTTTTATGTAAAAGCTTATAGTTTCCAAATATTTTAAAAAACAAAACAAAAAATATTGGGCTAAGCACATGTGCGAGCCACCAGTTTGCAACCACTGAGTTCAAGTAAAATAAGGGGCAGAGACTGCTGTCAGAAGTCCCCTGTCTGAGGCCACGGGCACAGGGGGGCTCGGCTGAAGGTGGAGGTTGCAGGAGTGCCAAGCAGTCTGCCAAAAGGCTGCCCAGTCTGAGTACGTGAAGTGCCAAATTCTCCCAGGTTTTGGGATGACGCACCCCTATACCTAAGCCCTCGGAGTTAGTTCTGGAGATGCTTCTGCTTCCAGTGGGTCACTTTGGGGCAGTATTCTAGTTATGCTACCACACAATGAATACTGGAGGAAAAAGGTCTATCTTAACAATCGAAACGTCTACTCTGGAACAAGATAATTTTCCAAAGTTAAATTAAGAAGGGGTGAGCTGGCTTTGCTAACTGTTGGGTTATTTTCACCAGATGTTGGCCACTATCAGATGAACTTGTTAATTAAATCACTGGCCCTTTCTGTCCTTAAATAGACCCACCTCAAGCTATGCTGGTGAAATAAAATAATGGAACAGGTCATGAGGTTAGCAAATGTAGGACTTTTTCTCAGCTTCCTGTCATACTTGAACATGAGCTATGGAGAGCTGCGGCGGCCCCTGCCTGAAGTCAAGAGCTTGAACTCAATTGCCCCTTGCTCCTCAGGATGAAACACTGGCATCTTGCCAACCTTGTCCTGGAATTCGCAAGGAGTCATCCATTGTGTTTTCCTTTTCCTTAAGTCAGGTATAAATCACAAAGTGGCCAAAGATTCAGTAAACAATAATGCTTCCTTAAATCCCAAGTACCATTGGTTCTGACAGGAGGATTAAGTAGTACTGTTTCTTGGTTCCTCCTTGCAGTTTACCAACTTTGCTGTAAGCTGTGAGTCGAATGCTGGGCTTCACTGCGCTCTGTACCCGCTCCAGTGATTACACAGACACACTTTAATATCAAAGAAGTTTAATACGTTGCAATAAAATAAGCGCCTTGGAAAAGCTCATGGAATAGATGCCAATGTTAGATAAACCCTCCCACGCATCCTCCAGCCATCCCTCAAAATCAAACAAGAAACTGAAACAACAAAGGAAGTCC